GCAGCTGATAAGTAAGCTTCTATTTAAAAACTTAGTATTCACTTAACTAATTATTCATTTCTTTATTATTATTATATATTATTATATATTCAGATATCTTTTTAATGAATAATTATTTTTAATAAGAAGATAATAAATATTTTTCAAGTATAAGAAGTCTATACTAAATAGATCAGTATTAAGATATAGATCTTATATAATAAAAGTGAAAAACATTAGAGAAGAAAAATAAAAGAGAAACTATAAGAATTAGTAATTAAAGTAGATATTTATATATATACAAGATAGAGCTTCAGAGTAAAAGAATAGAAACTCTATAAGTTTCTTAGCTGAGAATTTATAACTGAGAATCAGAGCTTTCAGTAGAAATCTATAAAGTGTAATAAAATAATCTATTAATCAGACATAGTCTGCTATACTAATATAACTATAAATACTCTTATAAAGATATTAACTTTCAAGGTTTATAAAAACACTCTGATTAATATAAGAATTCAAGTACTTACAGTCTGTAAAGCTCTGTAAGTATTTTAATATATATAAGATTTAATCAGACTAATATCTCTATACTAATTTTCTTTAATTTTTTAATTCTTATTTATCTTCTGTGAAATCTTAAATAGAAGATACTACTATTTTATATGTAATATTTCTTCTCTAGTTATAGAACTGCTCTACTGAGTTGTAAATATTTACTTAGTAAAGTAATAATTAAGAAAGATATCAGATTCTCTCTTTATAAACTGATTACTTTTATATAAATAAAGTATTCACTGATTACTCAGTAAATACTTATTAAATATAAAAGACTATAATAGTTAAATTTTAATAATATAATTAACTACTCTATAATATTATCTTTATTAAATTTTATATAAAATTTAATATTTTAAAATACTATTTTTGTAATAACTATATATTATTTATACTTTAAAATTATAATTTAAATAAATTATTATATTAAATTATTTAAATATATTTATATTTAATAAATTGTTTTTTAAAATTTAAAATTTCAAGAATTTTCAATACTTTATTTGTAATTTATAAAAATAATTATAATAAAAAAATATAAAATTCTTAAAAATTAAAATATAAAATTCTTATATAAAATAATTTAATATTTATTAAATTATAATATATTTATATAAGAATTATTATTTTTAATAATATATCATATATATATATTATTTTCCTGTATTTTATTTTATAATTAAATTTATATTTTGATCAATTTTAATTATATTGTAATAATTTTGAATTATATTATACTATAAGTCTTGATATTTATAGATTACAAATTAAAAAATTAACATAATGAATATTTATTGAGATATTAACATTTAAAGTTGATTATAATTCTAAACCTAATCGGACCCACAGGTATTACCTGTCCGGTAACTTACGGGAAATAGGCTCGACACGCGGCCAGCCAGGGGCAACATCGACGTAACCGCCCGCCAAATACCAAGAAAGTGTCTCAGCCCAGCTTCTGACCACAACAACTGACGCCGCCTAACTTTCTATCTCCATCTCCGGCATTACATATCTCCTCTGTCTCTCGACCGACCACCATCTGTCCGCCAGCTTCCCTACCCTACCAGCACACCCCCGTCTCCCGTCCGTTTCTCATCTATCAGCTTCACTCGTTTCATTCATGTTCCCTTGCTGCCTGGATAACTATATTGCTGGTTGGTAACACATGGTTTTGTCCTATCATCGTCACTCAGAAACTCCTCCATCAGACTCCCCTCCCCTCCTTTTCCTCGCCTCTCCTGTCCTTGAGCCCGCAGAATTGTTCAACAACGGATCTAGAAGCCTCTTTTGCGCCTCCTGTTACCGACCTTTGCATCTTCGTGTTTGGCACACTGAACTCGAGTCCAACAGCGGAACACGGCTGAAAACTCCATCTACTCTTAGAACCTCAATAACCCTTTCGCAGATGTCCACCTGAACATCACTTTCAAGCGCTACACCCGCCCTCGTCTGCTCCCTGGACGACCGGCACCTCTGATATCATCTCAGACCTTCGTTCCGCGTTAAATTCTTCGTCGTTTTAACGATGAAACTTTTTCCGTCCGTGTCGTCGGCTTTGGCAAGTCAATCATGCACGACCTTCCTATTATTTACATTGCTAGGGGCCCAGGTGGCTCAGGCTCAGACACCAATTCCTTTGGACATTAAAGACCCAGGTATGATATAAATTTCTTATTTTCCGTCTTTTTTGTTCTTCTGTTGTATATCGGTTTCATGGACCTAATACTTCTTTCTGCTCTCAGCTTCGATCAAGAATGCGGCGAAAACGGTTGCAGAGAAAATGGTTTCCTATTACACTGGTTGGAGACCAGGAGACGTGCCTGGTAATTTGCCCGACCCATACTACTGGTGGCAGGCCGGCGCCATGTTCGGCGGCTTGGTTGATTACTGGTACTATACCGACGACGACCAGTTCAACGATATTACAATGCAGGCAATACTTCATCAAGTTGGGAGAAATAAAGACTTCCAGCCTGCTAACCAGTCCCAGACCTCGGGAAACGACGATCAGGGGTTTTGGGGCATAACTGCTATGGGTGCCGCGGAGGCGAAATTTCCGAATCCCCCCCCCGACCAACCGCAATGGCTTGCTTTGGCTCAAGCAGTTTTCCATACACAAGCAGAGCGGTGGCACAATGAGACCTGTAATGGCGGCCTGAAGTGGTCCATTAACACCTGGGGAACTGGCTGGCATTACAAAAATACCATTTCAAATGGATGCTTCTTCAATCTTGCTGCTCGACTTGCGCGGTACACAGGGAATGAGACGTACTTCAGGTGGGCAGAATCATCCTGGAATTGGGTGAGTGGCGTTGGACTCATTAGCCCAAAGTACGAATACTTCGATGGCGTAGACGATGATAACAATGTAAACTGCACCAAACGCAATCCCATCCCTTGGACTTACAACGCCGGTGTCTACATGTCCGGAATTGCCGCTATGTACAACATGGTGAGTAGCCATTCCCTCTGTTCTATTCTGTAGTCACCGCGCTCCCAGCATAAATATTAATTTTTTGCTCGCTCGACATAGACAACCGGCGAGGAACAGACGGCCTGGAAAGAGCGCCTTGAAGGAACTATCAAGCAAACAGAAACTACTTTCTTCCCGGAACGCAAGGGTCGAATCATGACTGAAGTCGTCTGCGAGGACGCTCGGGAAGATAAGTTGTGTGATACCGACCAGCGGTCGTTCAGAGCTTACCTTTCCCGCTGGATGGGTCAGACCATCAAGCTTGCCCCATTCTCAAAACCCCTGATCGCGCCAATGCTGGAGCGGTCCGCTGAAGCTGCCGCGAAGCAGTGCAGCGGGCCTGACCATATGTGTGGCTTGCGCTGGTCGCGGCTCGCCGAGTGGGATGGTTTAAACGGCGTGGGCGAACAAATGTCAGCGCTGGAGGTTATCCAAAATAACTTGTATGATCTTGTTTCCGGCCCCGCGGACGAGAACACCGGTATCAGCAAGGGTGACCCCAATGCGGGAAGACGTGATCATGATGTACCCATTGAATTCTCTGAAATTACAACTGGCGATAAAGTTGGTGCTGGCTTTGTGACGTCGATAATCTTGTTGGGCATTCTTGGCGGTGCGTGGTGGTTGATTGCCTAAACCAGGACGGAAATAGTTGGGCGTATGGCGGAATCAGCGGCGTGTTAATTGAATATTGAAGGATCAAGCAAAGGTAGAGAGAGAAATCCAGAAGCTTCGCTCAAGACTCCTTAGTATTTTCTGTCGCTTCTTGCCACCGCAACGCCATTCCTATTTCTGATAGCGACATCTCTTCCTTTCCGGGTGAGAAGGTGGACGAAGACGAGTTACCCCAATGAAGCAGTCACTTTTTCTCCATCTTCCTCTATTGTTGTCATGTTGGAATTGACCTTTCAACGTTGCGTTTTCTCCCCCCCCCCCTCCCTTTTCTTTTTTTTTTCGTTTTTTATATATTTTATTTTTTACTCTCTTGCGAATCGAGTGGGAACTGGGCGTCATATCAGGGTATTTTTCTTATCGATTTCTCTTTTTTCCAATTGCTTAACTTCACACACAACCTCTATTCATTTATTTATCTATTATTCTATATTTATTTTTATATCCCTGCGTCATATGTCGTTTTTCACCATCTAATCCCACTTCCCATTCCTCGCAAATGTCCTCGTCACTTGATTCCCTTCTTGTCCTTGCATTCCTTTTCTTTTTTTTTCTCTACCCTCACCCCCTCTTCCTTTTCTCCTTTCTCTGTAACTTATCCTGGTTTGGGCCCACATGGGTTATTTTGTAACGCTACCCGTCGCATTTTCATACAAGATTTTCTATCTTCTTTTTTTTTTTTTTTTTTTTTTTTAAATCCAAAATTCCCCTTTTAACAAAACTCCTCCTTACTATTATTTCATGAAGCCCTTTCTTTCTTTCTCTTCAGTGTCTTGGCCAACTGCCAAGTTTAAAACCAAGCACTCACCCGGCGAGCTTATGTATCAAGTGCTAGTGCTATCTAATCTAGCATGTTGTATAGGTTTACTGTGACCACATTGAATATCACGTATGTGCAGTTTGCATAGCTGAGAAAACGGGGAGATGATGTTTAATTGTTTAATTGTTTCTTTTTTTGTTGTCCTTGGTTAGCTACTCCTTCCTCTCGCGTTCCATTTGAGTTCGTATGTGTAATATTTTCTGCTCGCTTAAGTACATTTACGTACATGGTTAACTAAACGTTCACATACAGGAAATACGCCTAGGGAAGTCTAATGGGCTGGGGATGGAGATCGAGAGAGATGATAAGATAATGAAAATCTTCCTTGGATTGATGTAATATGGGCTTTGGTGCTGGTCTATGAAGGAGTACATATCAAAGAATCTGTTGTAGTTGTATAAATTCGATGGAAATTTTGTATACATATATATTTACATGATAAAATTGCCGTTCTTTCATTTCCAATTGGGACAAAAAGGAAAAAAAAAAAAAAAAAAAAAAACTCCATAACTCCTTTAAGTAGTTTTTCCCACGCGATGCAAAACTCTCCCATCTCATCAAGAACGGGGTCTGGTGATGATGAAGAAAGGAGTCCCTTTCTTGCCTGGTGAACCAGGCTCAATTGTTGTGCCAATAATTAGGTGGTGTGAGGTGGTGATATGATACACGATGGACAACGTCAACAGTCCACAAAACTCAAAAAAAAAGCGGACGTAAATCGTTTTTGAGGCGTCCGGGGGAAGAAGGGAGGCGGAGTAAATAATAAAACGAGCCCAGCTACGATCCTTCGGCAAGTTCCTTTCTGATCTGGGCCTTTTGCCTTTCCGCTTCTTCCTGTTCCTCCTTTCGTCGCATGTCCAGTTGTCTCCGGCTCGTGGCTTCGTTTTCCTTCATGGCGTGCCAGACTATGCGTATCGTAAAGATGGGAGGTTAATTTTTTTTTTTTTTTTTTTTTTTTTTTTGAAAGTTGTATTAATTGGGGGGAGGGAGGAGGTTTGATTTGGAAGCAAGATTGAAACGCAGTGAAAGGAAGGGAAGGGGGAAGGTTGTGGTTTATTGGTGTTAGAAAATACAAATGAGTAAAGAAAACAAGAAGCGAAGCACCCGAGGGCACCCCCCCACGTACTGGATTTATGAGACTTCGCATGCGTCTTTAACTGCGTCACAAAGGTGTCGAAGTCCTTCTGTCTCTGCTCACGCGTTTCAAGGTTCCGTTTTTGGAGTTCCGGGCTGAATTTCTGTATTTATCGGGCGGGTTTCCTGTCAGCTTTTTGCATTCATTCATTCATTCATTCATTCCAGCTCGAATTTGCGCGCATGGAAAAAAACAAAAACTCCTACTCTCCTCCGTCATAGACATGCGCGGAGCGTATGCGACTTGTTCCTTGTTCTTCAGATGCGGACGTGATAGGGTGTGGATAGTGGATATATTGGCGTACCTGGAACAGCTCCTCCTCTGTTGGCCGCACGTACTCGACGAGGAGAGGCCCGCCAATGCAGAGCAGCGCTCCTCTGTTATTGTAATAGATATTTGTCAATCTCAATCCAGATACGTGGGGGAAACTAACGATATGTTGTGTAAGGGAGCGAAGACTTACGCGCCCACCATTTTCACCGTAGTAACCAGTCGAGGCATATTTTCCCCGCCCGTCTGTTTCCTATTTGCGACTGAAGCGGGATTCGGGGACGGAAGAGCGATCGAGAGGGAAGGATATGCGGGATGGCCAGGCGAAGGGGGAATGGGGAAGGGGGGTGGCTCCAGTTATTCCGGATTGCGGGAACTGTGCTCTTGGAGAGTGAATGGTAATGCGACTTGTGTGCTGGTTGGTGCGCAGCGAGCGATGATAGCCTGTTTGTGATCAGATATTGGATCCTTTCTCGAATTCGGAGCTTGTTTTGCGGAGTTGAGAGGGGTGTGGCTGAGTCACTAGCCATCCATCAGCCACTTGGGCGGGTATGTGGCGGTGCATGCTCCCTTAGTCAAAAGGGAGCGGCGGACATCAGCGGCTTGTTTTGATAGCTTACTCATATTATTTTACATAGGATGGGAATCTAGGATACGGCTAGTTCGTATTGCGCTTGTCATTGTCTGTATCTTCTACAATTATGAAGGGCTTCCTGATCCCGACACGGCCTATCAATTACGGACTCTGTGGAGCCAGAGAAAACAGCCAAATCCGTTGGCAAATACTGCCGATCAAACATGTCCTGTTGATGAAATCCCAGGGCCAACGAGAGATGGAGCTTCTGCGGGGGTACAGTGTTGGTTTGCGACCAGTTTTGCCAAAACTTCATGACAGATTGGCAGTGATTAAGGGGAAGAGGGGACAGGATCCTGCAATGCTTGCGCAGAAGCCGTCCAAAAACAGAGATATCAGCTGCGCAGGACAGAAGGTCGTTGCGCGGAAGAGGCGGAGGTGTTAGCTTTTTGTACCCTCTGGGTTGTTTGGAATTGAAGTCAACATGGATACCGTCGAGTCTGCGGATATTTCGCGCTGGTTGGCTGCGAAATCACACATCAGACCAGCGAACCAAGCACGAAGGGGCGGTGATGTATCTCCTCATTCGCCCTTGTTCTCTGGTTCAAACGCAAAAGCTGTGATGGAGGCAACAGCAGAAACTGCTCCTGCGTCAACCAGCAGCCATTCATTCATCCGCTCCCTTAATCTGGACAGGTTGTGCGGTGAACGAAACAGCAAGGAACAGGCGCTAAAATCTCAAATGATAAATAACAACGGAGACGAACCTTACACAGGTAGGATCATGAGGTTTCCTGCAAACCGAAATCGCGACGTCATGGACTAGCCAAGCTGTGTTGGAATTTGACGCCGATCCTTAATCATGGAGCTTCCATCCATGCCATTCGTCGGGACATGGTGTTTCACAATCCTGAATTGGGTGCGAAAATCTTCAGCCTGCCTGACACAACGGTGAAACGACCTGGGATAATAGCCAAACAAGAAATCGGATAGTTATCCCCTTTCCGATATCGAACTTCTTACTTCTTCTTTTACGCCCGCAGTTTGGATCATTCCTGAACACGCATTGGCGCCCGATACATTCTTCTATTGAAGATCATCCACTGCACTGCGGGATGGGCGGAGAATATTTCCTTCCAGGGAGATTTAGAAATTCTGGGAGAGCTCTTTTCTCTATGCCCTTATTAACAGCTATTATAGCTCTGTGTGGTGATACTGTTTTGAATTGACAGCGATCTATACGGAGTAAACATATCAGGGCGATGGCGTTGGGTGAAATGCGGGAAAGGGATTCGAAGAAGAGACTGAAGCAGAATTCTGTCTTATCACTATTTCAATATCCATGTCGTTCGACATACTTAGATACTTATTAGCCCCCGAGCGGGTACTCTAGATAAAACCTCCATACGCTAAGGACAGAAGAGAAATGTGCCTTGTCATCGAGATCGCCGCCTGGTGCGGACAAACCCCTCTGGTCATCCCGACGACGAGGCAGGGCCACGTCCCGCTCCACAAAGTTGATATACTTCGGCTCATTTTCCAATTTTTTATTTTTTTATTTTAGGTTTCTTTTTTCGTGTTTCTATGAGTTATATGTGGCTGATTCCAGAGTAGTTAACTGCTTCGTGGTGCATGTTGTGGGTGTTTGAAGATGGATGAAAAAATGAAGATTGGGCGGGCGTTGGGTGGTTGATTACGTTACCGAGTAATAATAATAATAATATCCCACCCCAGCATCCCACATCAGCACTTGCGGCAAGCTCGAGAGTCGGGAACAGGAACAAAAGTCTATTTCCCAACCAACTACATTCTGGAGGACTTTCTTTCTTCCCCTACTTGCTGAACAGTGAGCAGAACTCATGTCGTTATATAATTACAACGGAATAGCTATTTGAAAGATGAGACGAGTATAATTGAGTATTGCGTAATACGGATACCGTGGATAACGACCTAGGCACTCCCTACCCACAGATCGCGGCCAATCCGCCCTTGCCCGCCCTAATAACGGGCGCCGACTGTTTTTTTGGCTCCGTCTCCAGCGTGTCACAGTGGGTAATGGGTAAGTTAATACCGCGGTCACGTTTTCTGCAGGGGCATCGAGCCTCATCTTGTTTTTCTCCGCTCTCGTCTGCGATGTTTCTTCTGCTGCTCTGTCGCCTCCATAGGATAGGCACTCTCTTGCGCGCTTTTATTTACTCGTCAGGCGCTGGCATGGTTGCACCAGAGCAGAGCAAACGTTTGTCAATTGTGATTGGCTGCCCCTTTGGCTGCGTTACGGCCAGTCCCTCCCCCTCCCCTCTCGTGCTACCGGGAGCATAGGGGCATGTGAGACGTCGCAACACCAGCTCAACAACTTGTCATTCGTTTCTCTCTCCTGATACTAGATAAAGCGGGCTATCTGCTGGCCACTGCTTTTGTATCAGTATCATCAACGTTGATTTTGCTGGTGGGAACACTCTTTTCGTGGTCGCATTTCGACGTCCTCCGGCGCGCAGCCATCTATCTCTACCTGAATACACCCAGTCTGTAAATTCTGGAATAGATCTGAGTCATTTACGATTCAAGGGACACTTGTCGATAGTTTCCTCTACACTTGGATACACCCTTATACTTCGAACTGGTGAACGTACTTCACGCTTCAAGGGTTTGCCCTGCTGTTACTACATTCCTTTTGCGGTACCGATTTGAACCAGAGCTCCCCTTGTTAGTATATATATTTTATATTAAGAAAAAGTAAATGCTTCATTGCTAATTTTAGTTTGCTAGGTTATATATTTGTCGCAGCCTTTTATTTCTCCTAAGCTTTCGACATCTACGAAACCAGAGCGCGAAGGCCTTGTTTGGATAGTGCACCTTCCTTTCGTATAACCTATCATGGCATACCCGCAGAGGGGAGGCCCTCCTCCACGACAGTACAACGACAGACCACACCCCCCACCCCAGAATTATGGCTATCAAGGGCGGGGACGGGGTGGCTATGGGCCTGGGCCTGGGCCTGGGCCTCGAAATCCGAACTACGATGACCGTGGACAATACTACGATGATCGCCGGGGATATGGAGGAGGAGGTGGTGGTGGAGGTGGAGGAGGTGGTGGTAGTGGTGGTGGACAACGGGGTCGTGGAAATTATGGCCAGTATGGTCCTCCGAACCGAGGGCGCGGAGGTCCACCACCAGACCGGTATGGATATGGCGAGCGTCGCCCTATGAACGGGCCACCACCACCAGGACCACCGCCTGGACCATCACCTGGACCACTTCCACCTAATTTTGATAAATCATTCCCTCGACCTCCACCGCTCCAGCAGAGGCCAAGACATCGTAAGTTGAAACGCAATGATGCCTGCTCGTGGCCTCCTCCAGTACTGACAGATTTGCGCAGCTAACGATGCGCCACCGTTGTCGCCTACACATCAGGGAGAATCCTCGTCTGATAATCCGTTTCCTACTTTCCCAGCAAGGAGGCGGGGGAATTCAAACGAATTCGACAGGCGAATGGCTAACTTGGACATAAATGACCCGTCTATGGGACCCCCTGAACCAAGACCGCATACCTCAAACTCTAGCCGCCCTCCTCGACAAAGACAGCAGGAACTGCCACCATGGGGTGGGGCACCTGGCGGCAGAAACATGGCACACCCATCGGGCGTTGAACCTCCGATGGGACCAAAGAGGAGTGCGACGATGCCGCTTAGCCAAGGTTCGACTGGCCCGCAGTATCCAGGGCAGCAGACATGGCAGGAACCACCTATGCCACCTCTAGGCACGGCTGGCGGTTCGAACCCCAACATCGTGTCTTATTCGGAGGGCGACGTAACGGACAATGGAAGAGACCTGCCAGATGACTTCCTCGATGCCTACCTAGGACCCCATGATACAGGAGAGTCGGATATGCCGAATTTCAGCGCAATGGCGGATGTTGCTGATGACAATATTGTGCCTGTTGATACACCACGGGGTAATGGGTTGTCGACTCCTAATACTGGAAATGGTTACACTGCTTATCGCCCTGGAGCACCCGCTTCAAGCAACAACGCACATTCGCCAGCAAATCAATTTGAGAATGCGGGGTTCCAGTTTGACCTTCCTCCCTCTCCCGGTGCAGCATACGACCACCGTCAGGGAGTAGATGACTATGGCCCACCCTCGACTAGTGCTTGTCCCCAACGCCAACCAACTGGAGGTATGCCAGCTGGACCTGCATATCATGGAGATCCCGGAGGTGGGATGGGTGGATATGGCGCCAGACCACCACCCAAGCAATACAGCCCTCCAGGCCAAGGCGCGCCTATGCACTATCATGAAGACCAAGGCGGGTACCACAATCAGTCCGGTGGTTTTTCACCTATAGATAACCCGTCTCAAAATCTGGATGCGCTTCCTCGTCACCCGGTTCCGTTCCGCCCCGGTCTAGATAAGGGGGGGAAACCACCCCCAATCAGGCAGTACGATAACCCTCCCCCCATGCCACCACAAGGCCAACCGGGCCACGGACACCCGCCCCCACCCCCGGCGGCGCATGACAGACCGGCCTCGGCAACCCTAACCCACGAGGAACTCAATCGTATTCAACACGCTGCCAAGAGTAATCCATCAGATCACAAAGCTCAACTTTTCCTTGCTAAAAAGCTGGTTGAAGCTTCTATGGTCCTGATAGATGACAACGGAAGGGCTGATTTAAAAACTAGAAACAAGAACCGCGAAAGGTATATTTTTGACGCCCACAAAATAGTCAAGAAACTAGTGAGCGCAGGGTACCCGCCTGCGATGTTTTATCTGGCAGATTGTTACGGCGAAGGCCAACTCGGTCTGGAGGTTGATCCAAAAGAAGCGTTCTCCTTGTACCAATCTGGTGCGAAGGCCGGACATTCAGAATCCGCTTACAGACTGGCCGTCTGTTGTGAGATGGGCTATGAAGGTGGTGGAGGCACCAAGCGGGATCCAATGAAGGCTGTGCAATGGTATAGGCGCGCTGCCGCACTGGGGGATACCCCTGCAATGTATAAGATGGGTATGATCCTCTTGAAGGGTCTGTTAGGACAACAAAGAAACCCTCGAGAGGGGGTATCCTGGCTGAAACGAGCCAGTGAACGCGCGGACGAGAGTAATCCCCATGCGCTCCACGAGCTAGCATTGCTATATGAGAACCCCAATGGAATCGACGCTGTCATCCAGGATGAAGCGTATTCCCGAGAACTCTTGGAACAAGCCGCGGAGCTTGGGTATAAGTTTTCACAATACCGTCTCGGTATTGCCTATGAGCATGGCCTGCTGGGATGTCCCGTCGATCCCCGCGTGAGTATCATGTGGTACTCGCAAGCAGCTGCGCAAGGCGAGCACCAGGCTGAGCTGTCACTCTCTGGCTGGTATCTTACTGGGGCAGAGGGAATTTTGCAACAGAGCGACACGGAGGCATATTTATGGGCACGTAAGGCAGCCATGGCGGGGTTGGCGAAGGCCGAGTATGCGATGGGTTATTATACCGAAGTTGGGATTGGAGTTCCAGCCAATTTGGAAGATGCCAAGAGGTGGTACTGGAAAGCGTCTGGTGAGTTTTGGTTTCTCCCTCTTGCAATGGATTCCTTTTCGTCTTTCGTGGTTTGGCAATTCCTATCTACTCATCCAGGCCTCATATTCTGACAACTTCCTTTCTTTTCTTGCTAGCACAAAACCATATGAAAGCCCGCGAGCGTCTAGAGGATCTGAAGCGTGGTGGCGCCAAAATGCAGAAAACGCGAGTTTCGCGGTCCGCCGTCAACAATCAGAACCAAGGCGACTGTGTCGTCATGTAAAACATGCATGAAGCAGCTAGCCAGCTATCTTCCGTCCTATCGAGCATGGTCGGTGTTCCTTGAAGCTATTTTTGTTTCTACGAAGCCATTCGGGCAATGAAGTTTGTACTTCAAGCTTCTAGATATCTTTTTTCTTTCTTGATTTTTATTCCCCCTTCTTCTCCCTATTTTCTCTATTCTTCGCCTTTTATTTTTTTATTTTTTATTATTTTTTGTTTTTAAAAACGCCCTATCAGAACTACGTACATACTAATGATACCATTATATTTCTTCTTGCATCTATTCTTATGTTTTACTTCTCAAGCTTCACTTCACACGTTTACCTTACTTTTCTTGTGTCTTTTTTCTTTCTTTCTGTTTCATATTCCTTTACTCATTATTGGGACCAATCCACCCCCCATGCATGCTTCATGGAATTTAAAGACTGGATATTGAATTTTGGAACTTGTCAATTAGGGATATGAAATACGGGGCTGTGTGCCCTGGAGCCTATACGCTCGGGCTCGGGACAAGCCCTATAATAGGGGGGAGGCAGTTGTAACGGTAGGCCCTAGGGCGCAAGCAAGCCACCACTATAAGGATGGGTATTTGCGTTTACGGACGAGATTGTGATATAACGGTACACCGGGACGCATTAAGGCTTTCTTTTATTCATGATAGCCAAATAAATCGACGTGTGGAATTTTGTCTATGGGAATATGTAGAAATAAAGTTTTTTTTTTTTTTTTTTTTTTTTTTTTTTTTTTTTTTTTTTTGCAGACATTTTTCTTTTCCTTTCCCTTCCAACCAGATGATATATTCAAGATGTTCGAGCCCGACTCCCTCACTTCGGTTAGAGGAGAATAATGGTGTTGGCCCCAGCACGGAATTAATGGCGGTGTTACACTATTAATAATGTTGGAGAAGATGGTTGGTTATATTTAAGAAGGAATCTAGCAGCTACGTGGTCTTTGTTTATAGGATTCAGCGAACGCCCTTGAATCACTTTGGGGTGGCGGGCGACAGCAGTCAGGCCTCTAGGAGATCCCATCGGGGATCCAACACCCCCCCCCGGCCCAACCTTGGAACTATACCTGCCATAGAAAGAGAGAATAAAATTAGAATAGAGATATAGGTATTGGTATTCTATGCATAGCGCATGCCCAACATCGAACCTCCCGCTCTATCCCTCTTCAGCGTTGTCCTCCTTCTCGGACTCCTGATATCATAAGTTACATCGCCCTGTCTCCCTCATTTCTTACCGCTCCGACGGCACCCTGTGGACGAGGTGGGGGGACCCCGTGGCACATTTTGATACCCCCTCGCTTCTACGGGGGGTAAAGAGCTCTTTTGCGATAGCAGAAAGCAAGAAGATTGGAGTGGATAGAGAGAGGAGCCGTGCTGTTGAGGTCACAATGTCGCCGTTAGAGAGGACGCCGGTTTATTTCCTGAGTCATGGAGGGGTGCGTTAATTCATTTATTTATGTGTTTATTTATTCCATACTTTTGTTTTGTCTGGGTTTTTGCTGCTTGCATTGCATTCAACGTCCATTTTTACCAAATCTACACTTACTTGAATCTCCACCGGGGATGTATAACCTTCATGGCCCCCTCTCCCTATATTTTGAAGAATTTATTATCTATTAACTACTGCACCTTCCATGCCTAACATTTCTCTACCTCACAACTAGCCAAACATCATGTACGACCATGATCATCCAGCCCATCGCAAGCTGCAGGAAATCGGGCGGGAAATCACTAGCAAGGTGAAGCCTCTTGCCGTGGTCGTTTTTTCCGCCCACTGGCAAGCGTTAAGAGATACAGTCGAGGTGAACAATGCTGAGATCACTGAGCTGATATATGAGTATGTTGCACTTTCTTACTTCACTTTGCCAGTCCCCTTTTCGTCGTCCTGGGAGGTTTCCTATGCCAGTTGCAGCGGGCGAAAATTGGGCGGATATTTCACTTGCTCATTGATGAGGAAAACAGGATCAATGAGCAGGAAGAAACATAGACACGGCATGTTCTGAGCTAACCCGGAAGATTATATGTAGCTTCTATGGATTCCCCAGCCATTATTATGAAGAGAAATTCCCCAACGTGGGGAGTAGGGAGATCGCGCAGAAAGTGATAGACGCAATTCGGGGAGCAGGGATGAAAGCGGAGGGAGTGAAGAGAGGACTGGATCATGGTGTTTGGGCTAGTTTTAAATGCGGTATGTCCTCAATAGTCAACCCCCTTTCCAGCCACGGTTTAGGGTATTGTACGGAGTACTACCTTGGTGAAAAATTGAGCACTAAAACAATGAAAATATTGATCCATTTTTTTTTAGCATTCAACACTGACCAAAACCCCCTGAACGTTCCCATCGTCCAAGTCTCCCTTTTCAAAACCGAAGACCCCATCCAGCACTACCGCCTGGGCCAAGCCGTCGCCAAACTCCGCGAGGAGAACATCCAGATCATCGTCTCTGGAATGGCAGTGCACAACCTGCGAGACCTCCGGTTAACGTACGGAGATTCTAAGCCAATGCCGTACACGACTAGTTTTGACGAAGCGCTCAAGGACGCTGTCACCACGCCACCGGCGCAGAGGGAGAAGGCATTGGTTGATCTGTTGAAGCGCGCGGATGCGCGGCAGGCCCACCCCACGTTTGACCATTTGTTGCCCATCCATGTGGGAGCGGGAGCTGCGGGGGAAGATGTTGGGAAGCGGCTGTGGACTCTGGAGGAGGGCAGCATGAGTTGGGCGCAGTTTAGGTTTGGGGAGGTTGGCGCGGACTGAAAGAGATTTGGATTTTTGGATGATGTATTCTTATTCTAGCTTTTCCTTCATCTTTTGTTTTCTTTGTGGAGTGGGACGGGGGAGGTATCTTTCCCCTTCCACCCCCAACTGGTCTCGGTTTCTCAGTGCGTATAGCATGCTTTTTGAATGTTGGATAATAAAGGCATCGTATCTTTCTTGGATGTGGAAGGAGCCATTGTTCTATTTTGAGTCGTGTATATATATGTACAGAAACAGCGGAAAAGGAAGATAAATCATGGCGCGCGGACTATATTGAGTCCTTCACCAAAGCTGTAACTTTCTCCTCAATCTCCTTATCTGTCAAGCCTAAATGTTTGCCAGAGTCAGTTCTGTCCACAGTCAAACTTGTGGTGGTGATGAAATTTATCCATACCTAAGAGGGGTTCTTGCTTCTCCTTCCCCAATTCTGCGAAAAACGACAAAGAGTTAACATATATTGCGAATAGAACAAAGAACAACGTATAAACCCCCTCATAGCCCCGTACACACATACCATATCTCGCAAACACCCTTGGTTCAGTATCAAATGCCTCCCGCATCATGACGGGTACGTGTGGGTTGTTTTTCTTCATGGTTGGGTATGCGCGCTTCAGGAACGCTCTATATCCACACATCCAATCCCAAAACAGTCAGTCAAAAATCTATGGAACAGAACACCGTGGGCAATACTATATTCGAGAGACTGGAGACACCAGTTTCATACCTGGTCGCATCGCTGTGAGGAGATGAGTTGCAGAAGAGGAACCGCAGCTCCTTCAAGCTCTTGTTGAAGGCGTATCTCGCAGACATCGCGGGCGGGTCCGAGTCGGGGGTAGTGTCAGAAGGATGAAGGCTGATTCCCACACACGTCCTTATAGGAGGTTAACGGCAGGCTTTAGAGCTCAATTGAGCTGTTTCTTGGACAGGTTTCAAGGGCGATCTGAGTTCCGGAAGTTGTTTGATGACCATCAGAAGCTCTCAATTGTGATCATGCAACTATATTACATAAGCAGATAGACCACGTGACTAGGGGCGAACATCGGAGCGCCGAGACCAAGATATTGCTCGCATTTGAACTATGACTGCGCGCGTCGATGTCGAGATAGAATATCTGAGCAACAGACCAGAGAAAGGAGATCTATTTCCTTGGTGTAGTTACTTTTATTACATTGCTTCTCGGGCTTTTCTCTCCTCTCTCTTACATTCCTTCCTTGGACTATTTTGTAACCAACGCTTTTTCGCTCCCTCCGTTTCCCACCCCCCTACATAACATTTTACAGACAAACATCTCCGCCCGTCATGTCTACCTCAAGAGTTGGCCTGCGCTTCTTCCAGAACTACAGATCTGCTTTCCAGAACCTATCAAGTCCCCTCCGCAGACATGGATTGAGATCTCGGCGATTCCAAAGCACTGAAGCCGGCTCGTCCACTGCTCCCCAACAGAGCTTCCTGCAGCGGTCATGGAACAGTCCCATCGGCCTCAAGACGGTGCATTTCTGGTATGATATCAAATCTCAACGGTTCACTACCCGTTTTTACATTTCAATTAGGGATGAAAACTGCCGCTAACCTGGGTCGCTTTTCCCGTGAATGTTGCAGGGCCCCGATCATGAAGGTGTGATATCATACACATTTATTCCCCTCCGATTTTTCGCAAAGCGCGGTTGCCCGCACGATATAACTACACGGGATATCGTTATGGGACATCACTACAGTGTCGAAGAGCCAGCGGCATGCTGATTACATTTGCAGTGGATCCTCGTTCTAGCCGGCCTCTCTGATCTCACACGACCCGCCGACAAGCTCTCTCTAACTCAGAACGGTGCCTTGATGGCCACCGGCGCAATCTGGACGCGATGGTGTTTCGTCATTAAACCAAAAAATATCCTGTACGTCGTACCATGCCACATTGTCGATTGAATATTGTTGTTCCCAAAATTGGCGCGCGACGCTTAGTCGCTTCTATATGTTTTTCTTGTGTGATTGTCGTGAGCCACTTTTATCAATTGATGGTCAAAGTTCCTAACATCAACCCCCAGTCTCGCCGCGGTTAACTTCTTCGTTGGATGCGTGGGATTCACGCAAGTTACTCGTATCTTCCTGCATAGACGAGCTGTCGATGGGTCGGCTAAAGAGGCACTGAAGGACATGACCCACGAAGCTACCGATCCCGTCAAGGCCGCCGTGATCAAAGTTGAGCATAAGGCGGAGGAATTGATTAAGAAACATTAAATACTAGAGAGGCAAAATATGACGCTAGGGCTTTTCTCTTTAGCGGGGAGGAAGGGAAATGTGTGGGGGCTGATGGGATAAATCTAATTCTTCTTATATATAGTTGGACCAGAGGCTATATACATTTGGGAGGATGATTCAGAACTTTGTTTCTGGCTTCTTGGGCATGCAATAAATAATACCTAGTCAGTGAACCTTTTGCATAAAGTATAAAGTATGTAGATTGGGATATTTAGCTACCATACGTAGCTTCTCCGCATGCACCGAACAGCTAGCTACATTCAATTATTCCCCACAACTTTGCCCCCAATTACGTAGAAATGATTTGTCGGGTTGTGGGCATCCGTCATAGATGTCAAGCGAATGCTTCAGTCTTCCCGTAAATCATGCCACACGGCTTGGACGGGACCTAGGAACGGGGTTGATTGGATAAGAAACCTTCTGTCGTCATTGACCTCTAGTTATCTGGATCATTGCCATCATCTAAACCTAATTTCCCGTAGCCCCGCGACGACATTTTAAATATGATGGGTCCGTTTCAGTCCGCAGGTTTATATTTGGAGTCATGGTATCTTAGTAAATAGTTGAGCCTCAAGTGTATATATGTAAGTGGCTATGTGCTGCCAATCCTACGCATCCCTGGGGACGAAAGCGTCATTGACGACACTGGCTGCAAGACTTGGAACTAGAAGCTATACGACATCCTCACGTCTCTTGAACTGCGGAGCCTTGTATAACAAATACCAGCTTCCCTTCCGCCCCTCCCTCCTCCCAGCGCCAGTTCAAAAATATACACCTGCAGCCTCCTCCTCCTCCTCCTCCTCCTCCTTCTCTACCCCCTTCCCCCTTTTCCAGCAAGCAACGTTTACAACCACTCGCCCCGCCAGCATGAAAGCCCTCGTCTACAAAAGCGCCGGCGTCGTCGGCATCGAAGAGCGTCCCAACCCAACGATCCAAAGCCCCACAGACGCCATCGTGAAACTCACCCACACCACCATCTGCGGCACAGACCTGCACATCATCAAGGGGGACGTACCAACCGCCCAGCCCGGCCGCGTGCTGGGCCATGAAGGCGTCGGCGTGGTTCAGGAAGTCGGCTCGAGCGTCCAGGGCTTCGTGCGCGGAGACGCCGTGCTCATCTCGTGCATTACGGCGTGCGGTGCGTGCCCGGCGTGCCGCAAGGGGATGTCGTCGCACTGCGTGTCGGGCGGGTGGATTCTAGGCAATAAGATCGACGGCACGCAGGCGGAGTACGTGCGCATCCCGCATGCGGCGTCTTCGCTGCACAAGCTCCCCAAGACGGTTGACCTGCAGGCTGCGGTCATGCTGTCCGATGCGCTGCCGACAGCCATGGAGTGTGGGACGCTGAATGGCAAAGTTCAGCCGGGAAGCACGGTCGCTGTTATCGGGGCCGGAGCGGTGGGCATGTCCGTGATGATGACGGCGATGCTGTATTCACCGGCGCTGCTTGTGATGGTGGATGTGGATGATGGGAGATTGGCGATGGCGAAGAATCTCGGGGCACACGAGACGGTTAATAGTAAGGATTCCAAGCAGGCTGTGGACAGCTTGTTGAAGATGACCGATGGGCAGGGGTTTGATGCCGTCATTGAGGCTGTGGGTATCCCTCACACTTTCCACCTGTGTCAGGAACTTGTTGCGCCTGGGGGTGTTATTGCAAATGTGGGCGTGCATGGGACGAAGGTTGAATTGTCTTTGGATAAGCTATGGGATCGGAATATCTGTAAGTATACCACATGTACGTGGTTGCGTGTTGCGTGTTGCGTGTTGCGTGCCATGTGCCATATGCTCCTCGTTCGCGGAGAACATGGACATCCCCCAATATGCGCGCTGGCGATTTGGGGGCTACAGCACAACTACCAGCATCCAAGACTTGAAGCCCTAGTAAGAAGAACATCTGCTGAGCCATATCCCGTTTAAATCCAACAGGTATCACCACACGGCTTGTGGACGCGGTCACGACTCCAATGCTACTGAAGCTTTTCCAAGCCGGCAGACTGGATACCTCCAAGCTCACAACGCACCGTAAGTGGCGGCCACAATCCTATATATTTCCTTCTTGAGTCGAGTTCCCCACATTGCGTACTGCCTATAATAATAATAAGGGACTTTCATACTGAAAATATTACCTACTTCACACAGGCTTCTCGTTCAAGGAATGCGAAGAGGCATACAAAGTCTTTGGCGCTGCGGCACAACACAACGCTCTGAAGGTGTTGCTAAGTATGTGAGAAGAAAAAGAGGAGAAGAGGAAAAAATAAACAAATCGAGGAGGAAGAAGGGCTTTCTTTGGGCAATTTCACTCTTCTGCGTCTTGAGATTTGAGTGTTGAAAACATCATATGCATTGTAAAATATTTTCCAAATGGTTCAGAGGCAGGTCGGATATCATGATTTGTATGTGGTTGTGGTGATTTGACAACTTGGGGCATTTTCTTTCATATTCATGTCATGTCATGGAGTAAGATGTCGTCTGCAGCGCTCAATAACAATGGAGCGATGTAGTGTGGTGCTCTACATGTGCTTTAAGGTCTGCTTGGAGAAGTATATAGTGTATCTAGATTTTTCTTTGCTAGTTAGTGTCAAAATTCGCTGCTCGTAGCCCGATCACCTGACCTTGGCCAGGAGGAAGAAGCCGTAGATTCTTTATTATCACTGATATTTAAATATAGCATCTATTATTTATAAACAGTAGTTATACATTGAGAGTCAGATCAGCTCTGCTTGGAGATGCTGAATGACGTTGAAAGCCTCAAGCAGCACGCTTCTTTGAATCACAATATATATATATATCTTCGATGGCTGCTCTTCTGAGTTAAGACAGGTTGAAGCAGGGGCAGGCGTGGTTGTAGTAGAGAGAGAGGAAAAGGAGTTCTATGTGGCTTAGAATGAGTTGCGAGATATGTTGTGTCCTATCTTGGCTGTCTTCCATATCATCCATATCATACATATCATGTCATGGGATGAATTTCGAGTGTTTTTTGCGAGCGAAAGTTCCAGAGCTATCTATCCTATCTATCTGTCTTGGTCTCCCTCGCCCACTACCAATTGAATCCCCAACCGTCTGCACTAACAGGGACGCTCGTGGTCTGGGGAAACTGTTGGACCTTCATCCTCCATGCTGGCCATAAGCGTATCAAAAAAGTATGTGTGCGCCCGCTCGATGTCTTCCCAGCGATCCACAGAAATCCAGCCGTCACTCTCCACCCGCAGCGTCTCGACCATATCCTGCTTGAAATTCCAGCATCTTCTCATAAATCTCCAGCTGTTCTTCGTAAACTGCGTGCTCCTCGGGGGTTGGGGCGGGACGTCTGGAACCCCAAGTTTCCCCCTACCCCTCCCGTAACCGCATTAGCTCGGTTGTAAATGGCACAAAGCCATCCCTCCACGTCCGGTGGCGATAGATCAGCGGGCCGGAAAAGTCTTTCGTCAATCTTCCTGGCTGCACCTTGTAGTCAGCGGAGCTAGCATGGCCCGCCCTAGCTCAGACGCTTGGTGGCAGAGACTTGTTTCGGCGTTTTCTGATGGCCCCGCTGGGGGGGATGCTTGCAAAGTCAGGGACGTCGTAAGCGTACTCGAATGCCGGTTCGACGCTGGTGGACTGCCAGTCTATGAAGCCAGTGATGGCTGTGGGGTTGTCCTTGGAGACAAAGATGTTCCTCTTGTGTAGGTCTGGGTGGAAGAGGGTGGGCGTAGAAGTTGGACTGGATCGCTGGGTGTTTTATAAGGCTAGGGAAAAGAGCTTGCCCAACTTTTAGCAGATTTAAGTGCTTGTCCACGGAACCTTGGTATGACGCGCGCTACTAACGAAGGAGGGGATGTTCCCGTGGAGGCAGTCTTGCAAGGCCAGCATCGATCAGAGCAGAAGAGTATGAGGAGAGATCACGCCCTAGGGAAATCAGTTAAATAAGAATGATACTGGTAAGAGGAGTAAAGGCTATCTAAATATCTTCTTACATGGCCCTCTGTTTGGTTGTTTGTATGTATAATATCTCGGTTCCCCAACATCGCAGTCCCAAAAACGTACTTCTGCAGTGTGGGCCAACACAGAATGTAGAATCATTCTCAAGCTTCTGCTTCGAACCAGCATTGACAAATGCCGTGTCCGCAAAATAGAGACTGCCATAGTGTTGGGGGTCCCGGGTTGATCGGCCCTTCTACCAGCAGTGCGCTGGTGGTGACTGAGCTCTTTTGCCCCAGTAGCCTACACATAGGCAGGAAAATTGGACTTGGATATTGGTGCAATGCTTGTGCAGATTGCACCAATTGTCTTTACTTTCTTGTCTGGTGGCAGCTCATCCCATTACGTCCTGCAATGCAACTCTGCCCGCATGGTCCATAATAATTAATGTATGAGGTATGAGAAGCCAACGGGGTTAGTAGGGTCATCGCTCTAGTCTAGAAGAGCTAGAATTGGTATTTTGGTGTGGCGTTGCACTGTAGACACAAGTTAACATCCAGCTCTGAACACACCTTACTATGTACATGTACATGTACATCTCTTATTCTTACAGTAAATAAGTAACTAATCGTTGCAACTTCTGAGCTAGTCACATATGTTGCTAGTCCAGCAACGGACATGGGAAGCTTCGCAACGACCCGTCTCCCGCTGATGGTTTCCATAATGAATGCTTTACTAACCCCCCCCCCCCCCAACCTTCTCGTAGCTTTCAATGGAAGTGGCAGAAGGGCACAGAGAAAGTACCCTCGCACACAGGCGATCAAAGTTGAATTTGATGTAGCGCGCATCACGCTACGGCTTGTCAAGGTGCAGCCATCGACCGGAAGTGTAGGTAAACAATGCTTCGATGGTTAGTAGAAGATCCCAATGAGCATACATACTATGGCTGAGTAAAAACTCACACTCGCGTCCCGACATAGGTTCAAGTTCCTTTGAGAGAGGCGTACTCGGTACTCTGATGAAGTCCGCGTGTTGGCAGAAGCGCTGAGCAGAACACTGCCCGTGCTAGTAAATAATGGGCGTGGAGTTCCGGCCAGGTTGAGGGGAATGCCAGACTAGATAGACTGTGCAAACGAGCAGACAATAAAGGAGCGATATTTCGAAACCATTGGTGGTGACTGCAATCGCAATCCCACCACTCTCGCCATCACTAAATATGCCAAATTCCTTGGTGTTCGTCGAAGCGCCGGCCGACACATTGAGGGTTCAGGTCAGCCTTGGCCTACTAATGCAGGTAGCTAGGGAGGCAGCTAGATCTATCTATAGAGTACAGACGTGATATAAATTCATTTCATGGAAAGAGTAAATATAGTGGCAAGAAACTAACTAGCTGTAATCAATCTCTGTGAATTGTGTTCAGGTTACCCTCAAAACCAATAAAAAGAAAAAAAATAGTAGGAAATAAGAACATTTGGTTGGGAATAAATATACATATATAGGAAATAATTATAATTTGTCCTTCCCCTTCTTGTTCTCCGGTTCCGGATTCGTTTTTTGACATTTTTTTGTTTTTTTTTTTACTTCGTATTTTTATTTAATTTCACTTTTCCTTGAAAAATAACAACCCAACGAACAAGGTCGCCCTCTCCTCCCCTCCCAACCCATCAAGCGGCTTCATCCATCTTTCTTTCGGCAGGTTGGGGGGCCCGGCTTTTGCTGTTATTTTATTTTTTTATTTTTTTATATTTTTATATATATATATATATATATATATATTTTTTTTTTGGTATATTTACTACTTCCATCAAGCATATTGTATTGGCTGTACACTGTCGTTGCGTCATCGGAGGCGGAAAGCGTTAAATCTTTTACAACTTGGCAGCGCTACCGGGGGCGGAGATCTCGTTGTAAAGGAGCCTGCAAGAGTTAAGGCGTTAGAAATAAATGGGGAAACAAAAGAGAGAAGAGAAAAGAAAAGAATGTCTCCGGGGTGAGGTGAGATGAGATGGGGGGGAAAGAAGAAAAAAAAAAGAAAAGAAAAGAAAAGAAAAAGAAAAAAAAGAAAGAAAGAAAGGGGGGAGAAGGAGGTCGTACGATGTCAAGAAATCAGCATAATCCTCGCCGGTAACCTGGCCGGCAAAGTAGCGGGCAGCAAGCTGGTACTTGTTGCCCTTGGGGCCCTTGTTGGCGAGCTCGTCGGTCTGCTCTTGCAGCAGCTTGAGGGCATAACCCTTGTCGACGCGCTTGCCCTCGGCCGTGGTGACGTTGTGCTTGACCCATTGCCAGAGCTGGCTGCGACTCACTTCGGCGGTTGCGGCGTCTTCCTGTTATTGTTGAAAAGGGGGATTGTTAGTTTCTTTTTTTTTTCTTTTTTTTCTTTTTTTTTTTTTTTTTTTGAAGCTGGGTTATTTCTGCCTGGGGCAACAATGGGATAGGAAACGGGAGTGTGTTTGTTTCAATCGTGTTTGCGCTGGTAGGGGACGAACCATAAGGTAATTGATGGGGATGCATCCAACTCCACGGAGCCAGCCCTCCATGTACGACAGGCCAATGTTCAGGTTCTTGCGGATGCCCTCTTCGGTGATTTTGCCGGGGACATTGGTGTTCAGGAGGTCATTCGCGGTGATGTGCACATCTTCCCTGCGAACGAACAGCTGGTTCGGGGTGGGCATGTATTGGTCGAAGATATCTGTGGCAAGCTTGGCCAATGCGGGATGGGCGACCCAGGTACCGTCGTGGCCGGCGCGCACCTCACGGAGCTTATCAGCACGCACGCTGGCCATGGCGGCGTCGTTGGCCTTCGGGTTGTCTTTAATGGGGATTTGAGCGGCCATTCCACCCTATATTTTGGTAGTTAGTGAGTGGGTATTCTAGAGAAAGGAGTAAAGGGGGGGGAGGAGGGGGAGGAGGGGATTTTCAGATATTGCTTACCATGGCGTGAACGCCTCGTCGGTGGCAGGTCTTGATGAGGAGTTTGACGTAGGCATCCATGAAAGGAACAGTCATGGTGACATCTGAGCGATCTGGGAGGACGAAATTGGGGTTCTGTCTGAATTTCTTGATGAAGGAGAAGATGTAGTCCCATCTGCCGCAGTTCAAGCCAGAGCTGTGTTCTCTGAGCTCGTAAATGATCTGATTTGGTTTCGAGGTCCCGTTAGAAAAAAGAAAAAACTTCTCGCACAGGACGTTGTATTACCCGATTGGGAAAAAAAAGAAAGAGTAGCAGGCATCAACTCACCTCGTCCATCTCAAAAGCAGCAGAGATAGTCTCAATCAAAACAGTGGCCCGGATGGTGCCGCGAGGCATGCCAATGTAATCCTGCGCCAGATTGAAAGCGTCATTCCACAGACGGGCTTCAAGGTGAGATTCCATCTTGGGGAGATAGAAGTAAGGGCCAGTGCCCCGGCTGACCAGCTCTTTGGCATTGTGGAAGAAATAGAGACCGAAATCGAAAAGACTGGCGGACATGGGAGCACCATCAACCGTCATATGCTTCTCCTCAAGGTGCCAGCCTCGGGCGCGGGCAATGAGGGTTGGGAGTTTCCTGTCGGTGCGCAGCTTGTAATCCTTTCCACCTTGTTTGAAATCAACCTGTCTGCGGATGGCATCGTACAGGTTAACCTGGCCATTGACCATGTTCTCCCAGGTGGGAGCACTTGAGTCTGCGAAATTGAATCTTATGTTAGCTGGATTCCAGTTCTTGTTCTTTATCCCGCCGATTTCAGACAACCGCCAGCAATATCAAAACTGCATCCACCTTCTGCGCTTCCTCCAAGCCCGAGGCCAAAAACCAACGTTTACTTCCACAAAAGCAAGAACATGTACAAAAGATATAAATAAAAACCACTCACCCTCGAAATCAGCCATATAAGTATACACATCAGAGTTCAACGCATTCACGACCATTTTCCGGTCAGTTGGGCCTGTGATTTCCACACGGCGGTCAACAAGACCTGGAGCGGGAGGGGCTCCCTTCCAGGCATCATTTTCACGGATATGTTTGGTCTCTGGGAGGAAATCTAGGAGGGTGCCGCGGTCAATCTCAGCTTGACGGTCGATGCGTCGCTGGAGGAGGGCTTTTCTGGTGGGATTGAAAGTGCGGTGCAGGAGGGCGAGGAACGCAGTGGCGTCCTTGGTGAGGATCTTGCGGGTTTGGTCGTTCAGAGGGCCGAGGATGGCCACGTCCTTGAGGAGGGTGTCGACAGTTGCCATTGTGAGTTGATTGTATAGCTAATAATAATAATAGCTGTATGTATGTGTGTATGTGTATGTAGATAGATCTCTGTATTGTATAGGAGAGGAGAGTGATAACCTCTTCCTTCCGACAAAGATTGTATTGAGCAAGAAGTAGACAAGCACGATAATAATTTATAGCTATCAAGTCATCTAGGTTTTTTATTATTATAAAATGGGGAAAGAAAAGGTATTTATTTTATTTATAATGAGTAACTCAACAGAACAACAGAACAAAACAGAGCAAGAAAGCGTCAACTTCGGGATAACGTCAGAGCTTTTCTTTTGCCGCGGCACATGCAATAATAATATAAAAAACAGGAGGCGAAAGCAGAGCAAGCAAGGTGGAAAGCGGGCCAGACCACAGTCTGTTTAACCCCGAATTAATTAATTAATTAATCTGTGATCCCTATTCTAGTTATTCGGTCGAGAGAGTAATAATAAGAGAGCTATGATTGTCTTAAATATTTATTATTATGATTATTCTGTTTCTTAAATGGATGAGCGGGAAGTTTCTCACAGGCAAAAAAGTTACTGAGGCCAAACACTGCTTAAATAGTTACTTCTACTGCCTTTCTCGGCCGACTTACTGATGTAGTTAACTACTTTATATATTATTTCCATATTTCCATATATCCCCTGCTGTACTTGTCAGTGATTCTGCTCTGTATGGTATGTAAACGTACTTGGACCTTCAAAGTAATATTATTACTTATTATTACTTTTACTGGTGCTTGGTCCCCCGCACTCTGCTCCGGTATTCCCCGGGCTGCGGGTTATGTATAACTTACAACAACATTTTGCAGCTTGCTTCAAACGCCAAATGCATTATTATTATTATTATTTATTGCGGTCGAACTGGCGGCAACAGATGCGAGGGCAAATTAATTATGCAATTGATATGAATATATGTTTTCTTTCCCCCATACAGACAGAGCTTCCAGCCAAAAAATCTGCTCAGATGTTTGAACTAGTAAACTCTCATGTTAGAACTTGTAGTCTGTCTGCAACCATAACTACCATTGCAAACAAATGAAACTACGACGCCAAGACACCTCCGAATCAAGCTCTACTGCGTAAGTTTAGGGGATTTTTTGTATATAAAAATAAAAAAATAAAAAATAAAAAAAATAAAAAAAAAAGGGAAAGGTGTTGCTCCGCTGGGTCGGAGTCGAACCGACGACACCTGGATCGCAGAAAGATATTACAGTCCAGTGCCATAAACCAACTAGACGACCAGCGGAAAGAATGACGTACCTCAGAAACCAGGGTGAAATGTCAGCCTGAAACAAGTAGTTTGGTGGGAACTGGAAAGCGAGCAGTTGCTTATATAGCTCATATATATATATATATATATATATTCTGTTAGCACAAGAGGAGAAATCTAATAAACTTAAATAATAGTAAACTAAACGTGGAAAACAAGAAGAGTTGGGGAGATATTGAAAAATACTTTGTCAACCAATGTAGCTAGAGGTTCTCTCCTTCAGGAGCTTATTATTAGCTAGGTACCTCCTCCTCCCGGGGGAGAGAATCTCCAACCAACCTACACATGGCTATCTATAAGTACGCAGTACTATACTTGTACTATACTCCTCCCGCTACGGGGTACAATGGAGGATTTCACTTTATTTTTTTATATTTTTATATTTTTATATTTATTTTATAATTTAGCATTTTCACATGCTTCTTCCCCGCAGAGGTTTCAAATTATACTTTTCCCCCCCGCCACCGCCACCGGCGTGAGCATAAAGTGAATCGGGCCGTTCTGTAGGGCTAAACATTAGACCAGTGACGCAGTGGTTAGCGTTCCGTTCTTATATGATTCTCAGAAGCGCCCAGAGCTCTTTGGTTTTGGTGTGGCCTGAACTCATATGACATTCCTCAGTGATGCGGGGGTCGTGGGTTCGAATCCCACTTGGTCTAGATGAAAATTAACCACATTGGTCTCTCTCTTTTTTTTTTTTTTATATTTTAATATTTTTTTGATACTTGAAGTTATTGTTTTTCTTTTTATCCATCCATCATTCCTTCTTCATAGGGTTAATTAATTAACATTCATTATTATTCATCTCATTATCACATTTAATATTGGGCCTGTCTATCCAGCAGGTTATCTATTATTAGTCAAGTTCCATCTCATATGTTGGACCAGATTAAATACAAATAATCATGCTGACAGACAGACAGACAGCATTAACATTAACTCATCTTATAGCATACATCACATCATATTCAATCATTAATTAATTTCATCAATTCATCAATTCATTCCATCCCGTGCATGCATTTTCATTGCCGCCTTCCCCCCCCCACCCACGTCGTCAATATTCCGCCATGAGCGGCAAGTCCCTCGAACTCCTCCCCACCCACACTTGAAACTTGCCGCTAACAGGCATCACCCAGTTCTGATTCACAGCACTCCAGTAACTCAGGTCCTTGCGTGTCAGCGGCAGGCTCACAGTTACGTTTTGCCCGGGCTGCACCTCTACCTTGTTGAAATTGCGGAGCACGCGCAGCGGGAAATCCACGGTTCTGGTGCTGTTGTGGCTCGGGTTGGTCGTGGTGCTGTTGTTGTTTGGGCTGTTGCTGATGCTGCTGCTGTCGCTGCTGTTGTTGTTGTTGCTGTTGCTGCTGCTGCTGCTATTGTTGTCGAGTATAGGTTCGTCGAGCACGTTCTCAGGGAACGACACATAGACCTGCACAACTTCCTTCCCGACACGAGTCCCCGTATTACTGACAGTGACACTGACCGTCACAAATGGCTCGAAGAGGGATGGATTGCCGCCTTCACCTCCTCCAGCGGGTGAGGGGGGTTGGGCTTCGTCGTATCCCTTCGGGTATTCGTATGGGGGCTCTCGTTTGATGTCGTCTACAGAAGATAAGTACGGGTAGATGTATTTGGTAAGAACCCTGAATTTCTCTGGGAATAAGGCGCATTCAACGTTGGGGATTGTTGTGTTGTACCATGGTGGAGAATTTTCTTTCGGTCTGGGAGACGGGAGTGGAGTTTTGGATTTCAACGGTCTGAGGATCAGGTTGGATAGGTTGAAGGTGGTGTATGAGAGGCCGTAACCGAACTCATATCGCGGCGTTAGGTTATGGGCGTCGAAGTAGCGGTAGTCGATGTATAGGCCGTGGGAAAAATCCTTTTGCGGAATCACATCATCGGATTTATAAAGGATTCCAGCTTCAGGGCCATAATCGGTAAGGTTTTTGCCCATGGTGTATGGCAGTCTGCCACTGGCGTCCACATCGCCGAACAAAATATCAGCCAGCGCGTTTCCGCTCTCTTCTCCAGGTAAGTTCGCTAGAAGCACTGCTTTGACTCCCGGGAGGTCGATCCAGGACTCAACGATCACAGGCCCAACAGAATGGATCACCACAACTGTGCTGCCATTGCCAGCACCACATTCTGTCGCTACCTGAGAAACAAGGCTGTCTGTGCCCTTCTGGAGTATGAGGTCATTCCTGTCACCACGGATGTCTTTCCAACTTGCGAACCCTTCGCCAGAGTCCGCATTCGCGAAAACAAGACACAAGTCTTTATCACGCATATCCTCTGGTGGAGTCCGATCATTTGTCAGATACCCGGATACCGTTGTGGATTTGTTATTGAACGCCCTGCTTAGAGCTTTCCACGGCGTTATTAGGTAGGGGAAATCGACAGCTCCGCTACCCCAACCGGACGCCAGCGTGCCCTGGTTACACGCTCTGTCCGCGCAAGCGTTTGGTCCATCGCCAGCTCCGGCGTCCTCTCCATAAATGCCGATGCGATACTTCTCATCTGATAGTCCTGGGCCGTCCCTGGAAAGTGGTAGGAATCCGTTTTCATTCTTGAGCAAAATTGTGGCTTCGGCTGCAATCTCACGCGCAAGTGGGCCATGGGCATCATCCCCTTCACCTTGCGCATTGATGTATTGGTTAACAACACATTTGGCATCGTCATCCGGGCTGCCTTGGTGCAATCGACCGATTCTGTCATGCGTCCAAGACGAGAAATTTGGTCCCTCGTCCCCGTCCGGGGGCGGTTTCGCCCAGGAGTCTTGTTTCAATTGGTACCAAGAGGCCACTACCCTCGTCGCCATATCATTCAATCGATCCATTGGCACAGATGTATTCAAGACAGCCTGCGTCAAGTGGTGGCCCCACAGGGAAATGCCGTCCGCCCACCCCAGGCCATCACCAGGCATTGAGACATCCAGACCAGCAAGTGCACTGGCAACCCCGCTCCGTTGCGCCAACCAATCCGACTGGACGAAGCCTTGAAACCCAAGCTCATCCTTGAGGATGCCGTTCAAAATCAAACTATTTTGGCAGGCATAGGAATTATTGACCATCTGATACGCGCACATCACACTCGCGACGCCCGCCCGTACACTTTCCGCGAATGGCCACACATACACCTCGCGGAGTGAACGGTCATCAATGTTGGAAGACATCGCAATCGGTATCCCCCATTCACCCTCCTGGCGGAAATGCTCTTGCTCGTTGAGCACGTAGTGTTTAGCGGTCGCCATTACTCCATTATCCTGGACTCCGCGGATGGTCTCTGCGGCTGCAACGCCCTGGAGGACAGGATCCGAGCCAAAGCCTTCCCAATTCCTGCCCCCCGCAGGCAAGACACCAATAGGACCCATAGCCGGGCCAAGAAGGATATTGACTCCTTTAAGTCGAGCTTCTTTCCCCAGCGCAAAACCCCTCTTGTACATTAAGTCACGACTCCATGTCGCACCGACGGTAACACCGGCAGGAAACGCGGAGATGTTATCTGCAAAGCGAATGCCTAGAGGCCCATCTTGCAGACAAAGCGATGGGAAGCCCACCGAGCTAGCCGGACCTGAGCGACTTAGCATGCGACCATTTATGTTACCTTTTAAGAGAGGTATGATTGCTTCGAATATGAGGAAACCAAATCGACAAAAATTAAATCACGGCGGGCCCTATCCCATTATATAAGGAGAGCCTTGAATAAAGTGCGAAAAGAATATTTGACATACCAGTGTTTCCAACGCAGAGCCCCATCTGCCAACCCACACCAGTAGTGACGTTCACTTTTTCAACCACACTCATTCTACCCACTAACTCCTGGGCTTTTTCGTAGCTTTCAGTCCAACTTTGGACAGTTCCACCTCGCGGAGATGGATACCACGGCCTTGATAACTAGATATATAACTTACGTTAGCTTTTTTTCTTTTTTCTTTCTTTTTTCTTTCTTTTTTAATTTAAATTAACTATAGTTATCGATATATCGATGGGTTTGAAATAAAATAGATAGCACCTTAAGGTGAACCGATCAAAGTCATAGCAGTAGATGCCCCCAAAAAAAAAAAAAAAAAAAGAGATATACAGAAATGGTAATGAATAAACACACAATAAATAAATGCAAAGAAAGTAATGAAAAACAAACAAACAAATATAAAACAACAAATAAAACTCACTCACCCCATCCCTCGTCTCCACCCTCATCCGCCCATCATCTCCCTCACCATCTATCCCCTTGCCGCCCAATATCCCCTTCGCCCCAAGCACCGATAGCACAATCGTTAACACCACCAACACAACGACCACGAGCGGCAGGATGAGTAGACGCCATACCCTCCGCCGCGTCGTCTTCGTCGTCTTCGTCGTCGTCGTCGTCGTCCACCACCACCTTGCTGCTGATGTGATCTCCATCACGGCTGGTGTCGATGCTAGCTGAGGGGGATGTTGTCTGTTTGGGGGCTGGGGGTGGTGGATGGGGGGGGAGGCGGCATGGTTGTGTTGATGCTGGGGAAGGGGGGGGAGGGGGCGCTGGGGGGAGGAGGCAGGGGAAGACTCCCCAGCCGTCTTGGATGTCCCGCCTGTGGAGGAAGGGTGGATTGATGCTTGTGATGGTTGTGTGCCAATACTGGTGGGGATGGTGCTTGGAGGAAGTGTTGTGTTGTGTTGTGTATTTTGAGAATTGATGATTTGGTTGATGTTCTCCTTTTGCCATCCATGGATATACGTAGGTAGGTTACAGGGGTCACATGTTCAGACACAGTGTGTACTGTTGAGAGGCAAACTTGAGCAGTGCAAGCTACAAGCTATTTGTGTTGCTCCTATACTAAATATCAGGGGGGAAATAGAATCAAATAACTGCCCAGGGAGTGTTTTTCTTCTTTTTTCACCAGCGCTCGTTCAAAGATCATCCCTGGCCAGAGCATCAGTGGCTTGGCAGGGGAATTGGCGCATCTAGCTTGGTTTTTAGAGTTGGTGGCTTGTAATCGAGATAGGTTAATAATACGTTGTGTATAAATATTCTGTGTTTTATATTCATATGGTAGAACGGTAATATAGTTCTGCACTTTTTTTATATTTACATATGCAACTCATCGATGGTCCGCCTTTTGCCTGGGGGGGGGGGGGGTGGGGTATATTTAGTTCTCTCGCAAATAGTAGCTACCCATGCCACTACCATTGAAACCGTCCAGCAAGATAACACGCAAGCTAACAAACAGACAAGTGCGAAAAAGAAAAACAAATAAGCGTGTAAATCTAATTGCCTTCTTTTTCTATTGCACAACGCTTGTTCTCCTGTTCATGAACTGTTCTACTTCCTCGTGGCGCTCATGCTGGCCACGGTAGTCTCGTCGACCACGCAGGTACCAGTCGGCGACGATGATGACGACAACGACGAAGTAGACGGCGGAAACGTAGTTCATGTCTATAGTTGGAAATATATGATTAGCTATCTGACCTATGGTGCTACTTCGCAAATTTTTGGGAAGAAGGGGAAGGGGGGGGGGGGGGGTGGGCGTTAGTCGTAGGGTCTAGGGTTAAACCCCCAAAGGTAGTATAACTTACTGGAAGTCCTGACGGGATAAACCGAAGGGAACGAATACATAACAATGGTAAACACAGTCCACAAAAGAACTACAATGTTTGCACAAAGGCCAATTTTCCCCAGCCAGAAGGGGCCGTGCTTGATGTTATCCCGGCCGCGGATGAGCAACGCGATAATGGGAATGGCATACGAGATATACAGCAGGACAATGCATGCAGTCACCATGCTGTTAAAGGCGGTGGAGGAGCCGAGATACAGCAGTCCCAGTACACCGACGATGCAACAGCTGGATGCATGCGCCACGAGCGGCACGTCGAGCTTGGGGTGGATCTGGGACAGGTGCTTGTGGAACGGGAGGCCGCGGTCGCGCGCAAAGGACCAGCACAGGCGAGACTGCCACGTATGCGAGGCGATCTGGCAGCCGAAGCCGGTGCAGAGGACCAGGGATTCCAGGGCGATGGCGCCGGCTTTGCTGTTCAGGGCCTGGTGGAAGAGCTCGAGGATGGGGACGCCGGTCGGCGTGCTGATGAGTGTCTCGAAGTCACTCAGGCTGAAGAACATGGACATGCAGTAGAACCAGGCGGTGGTGAAGCCGATGGCGACGGTACCGCAGATGGCAATGGGGATGGAGCGCTCCGGGCTCGCGACCTCCTCGGCAAGGTGGGTGGCAGAGTCAAGACAGGCGAAGACCCAATTGGGGTTGATGAGGCCGACGATGAAGGCGATGCCGTCGGATTTCCAGCCTGTGTTGTTGATGAAGGTGGCAAAGACGAATTTGGCGTCCTGGTGCGTGGGGGCCTTGGACGGGACGGTGATGATGATCACCGTGAAGGACATGAGAGAGAGATAGAGGGTGGTCACTGCGACCTTGGGGAGGAGTTTGCCTACGCAGTTGAAGAGGAAGCACCATGCGTTAATGACTTGGTAGGCGACGACGATGTGCCAGGATTCGATGACGCTGTAAGTTTTCTAGTTAACTATGGTCCAGTGTAGAGAGAGGGAATTTCAATACTCGGTATTTTAAAATTGAATTAGACCCAGGGGGGGGAGAGGAAAAAAAAAAAATTCCTTACAAGTCAGGATGTCCAAGCTGCCACATTCCAACGCCCGCAGAGGCCAACGCCAGCGCAACACTGGCAGAGGTGAAAATACTCCCCGTCCACGCAAACCAACCGGTCAGATAAGACGCAAAGTTTGCATATTTCGGAGACGCCAGCTCGTTCGCCCAGAAATACTGGCCTCCAGCATTGGGCATAGAGCTCGCGAGTTCAGACAGCGTGATGGCCACGCAACTCGAGATAAATGCAATCCACGGGATACCGTACATGACCAGCAGCGGCCCGCCCGACGAAATGCCAGTGATCAGGGACGCAGACATGCCGAACCACGAGTTGGTCAGCGAGAAGCCCACGCCGAGCAGGGAGAACAGCGAGAACTTGCGCTTCATGTCCTGGGTGTAGCCCATGGCCGCGAGTTTCACGGCATCTTCATCGAGGGAGCTTGTCTCGCTGGGGTCACTGCCCGGAGACGGCACCACACTGTTAATTTTCTCCTCATCTTTAGACATGGTTGCTGATTATTTATTGCTATCTTTTTTTTTTTCGTTGGTTCTGTTTTCTGTTATACGGGATTCACAGAGGTTTTGTTTTTGGTTTGGGTAGGTAGATACAGTCGCTTGGGAGGGTACGATACGTTAACAAGGCCACTATTGTTGCATTGGGCTCGAGTTCCGGTTCGAACGATGGAAGGGATCCTTTTTTTTTTATTTTTTATTTTTTTTTTTTTTTTTTTGGCTTCTGCAGTCAATATACCTTGGGAAGGGTGTAGCGCATTGGGCAGTGTGGGATATCGAGTGCTTTGTGTTTTGGTCGCTTCCGGGCGTCACAGAAGTCACTTCAATTCAGATGAGAGAACAAGATGATTCCATGTCACCACTTGTGTTTTTTTTCGTTTCTTTGGAGATTCTGACTTTCCTTACTACGAAGGAAGAAACTATTTCTCGATTGTTTCTGAAGTGGCTGTACAACAACAATGAGGGTTGAACCAGATGTGTGGCTTAATGCGAAAGCACGGGATATCAACAGCTTCGTAAGGGGCGTCTTTTTGCACCACACACTGCCAATCCTTAAGCAAAGCACAGTACAGCTATACGGATAGATGGGAGGTATAGACTGATCGAGAGGGGGTGGTATTTTTTTATTTTTTTTTTGAAGTCGGGAAGTAGGTAGGGTGGAGGAAGATAAGGTAACAACAACAAAATAGGAATTAAAAAAAAAATATGATAACGGCGAAAATCAACCGCTAATCTGTTGAATAATGGGTGGTGGGGAATATCCAAACATCAGGAGATACCGGGATTAATGGAGATCGCATTTATCTGTTATGCTGCTTCAGCTTTTTGTGCGATGGGCTGCGATACTGCGAGTGAGTGCAAGAAAAGAAAAGGTAAAATAGCGGAGCTCGGGGGTTTTAAACAGGTCTTAGTGTCCGATGGCCAATTTTGGCTTTCATCAGGGAACAAGCGCAGCAATTGATTTTGCATGTGGCTCTTTTGGTGTAAAGTTTTCTTGCCTTCTCCAGAGACGACACTGGTAGAGGGGAATCGGCGGGAAAACAGAAGAAAAAAAAAAGGTTGAAAGTTTAACTTGGCGGCAACCTTAAACCCTTTTTCAAAGGCGACCCTCTTTGGTATTCCCACATGTCCCGCAACTTGCAAGTGACGTGATGTGTATACATGTATACATGTACCAAGACCCTAGTGCTGAGGCAAACTCGGCCATTATTGGCCATCGATACAGCAAGGAAGTCGAGGGTTGAGAACAAGTCCAGCGGAGCTCTCTGAAAAACGTGAGAAACATCCCCCCGCTGACGGAGCCTTGCAAGAGCTAGGAATTGGATCCGCTCGCCGAAGGATTTGCCCGAACGAACAGGTCGTGTAGGCCAGACAGAGACGGCTTTGTCGGCTATTTTTTCTGCCCTTCCCGGTCGGTCTTCTTCGGGTTTTATTGCCTGTTGTTGTTGTTGTTGTTGTTGGTGTTGGTTTCTTTTCTTTTTGCAGCGTGTTGTGTGGTGGGGTGGTGCAGCGTGCTGATGCGGGGTGTTACATCTCTCATCAATCTTCCAGTTGCACGCGCAAGTGGTCATCCGCGGATATTCTTTTGACCCTGTCAGCAAGAATCCCTACACTGTACAGCGTAGACATGTCGCATGTCATAGTTATCTGCCATCTGCACGCCTCAAGAGTTCATGGCGGGCGTGGCTGGAAAAGGAGGATTTCAGGTTTTGTTTTGTTGACGTCACAAGCGGCTCTTTCTTTCTTTTTTGTCTTTTTTCTGCCTCGGCTGCCCTGAGCCACACACAGATCTAGTTAGTTAGTTAGTTACTAGTTAAGTTACTACTAAGTTAGTTACTAAGTACACACTCGCATATTAATAAGTTACTATGATAGTTAGTTAGTTAACGTTAAGTTATTAGTAACGATATTACTAACTAGTTAGTTCAACTAACGAACTACGCCACTGATGCCGGCTTGGGCCCTAAATGTTAGCGAACCATTTCTTCTCAGCGGCGGACTGTATACGGAGTAACTACAGAGTAGACAATTACTTATTCTGGCTAGAGGCTTGCACAAGACCCATATGAAAAAACCTGACCTTTGGAATGAGCTTAATTCAGGAGATTGAAATGGGCTATACGTGTCTCATACATCTCCCACTTTATTAGTTGACCACTTATATTAGAAGTTAGAGAGCTCTGCATCTCTCGACTATAATATGACTCTCTCTATCTTGGCAACTAGCCAGGCAGTGAGTGGCTCATTTCCACTGAGTGGAGAATTTCATTCTTGCAAATCCCAACATGGAAACAGAAATGCTTTTCTGTTCGGGTCCCGCGTCTCAAGGGAAATTTAAATTTAAAAAATAAATAAATAAATAAATAACTAATCATTCTCAAACTATTTCTATAATAACTCTTAATAAATTCGTATTATTCAGCTCTGAATGGGCTATTAATCATTATTTCTCTATTATTGCAGCAGCAATTGTAATTCTTTTCCTTTCCCGCGTACAAATTTGGGTAAGTAAAAGTAGTTTCCAGGACTTGATTGTTATACAGATCCACTTTTATTGTTTGATTCTCAAGGGGCTCAGCAGTGAAACCAGAATAGTTTTTTTTTTATCTTTTCGGTTTTTAGGTTTTATCGTTCAGAAGCCTCAACTTTATCTGGTTTATCCAACAAAACCTGATGTCACTGAAGACGGCCCCCGGTTGAGGCGTCAGTGGCGGCCAATAATCCCTCCTCCTCTCTTCTGATCATCATTTGTTAGAAAGTCAATGCACAGACAGAGGTACTTCTTATTTGCTCTGTTCATGTGTATTATTATTTAACTTGGTTTGAAGAAGCAGGAGTTTGTGGAATAGAATAATAATACTGCATAATAGATATTATGTATGAGATCATTAGTATTATTCTCCGTGTGTTGATCTGGATTTAGTTTAGTTTATAGGGGTTAGATAGATAGTAGTAGTATTTGGCTGATGAACACGGCCTGTCAACTCCTACTCAAAAGTTATAGTCAAGCTTGTTAACTATACAAAAGCACTGATTGGAGAAGAAGGAATGTTGACGAGGACAGAGTCGACAGACAGACACTCTCAAAAAAGTTGAACAGAACAACAAGATTGGTTCCACATCTGAAGCCTACTTACTTCCTGGACATATTACCTGTTGGAAAGCCATGATCATGATCAGGTCCTCAGCCCATCTAAAGCAACATTCGCACTACATAAGGACGCAGGTACGGACGGTACTTTACAAGTAGATTAAGGGTTAGGGTACTCTGTAGAGGTTGGATTATTATTGAATGGGATTAGGGTACGGGTGGTTAGGGGGTTTACAGGTGTGAAATATGCGGTTGGGAATAGCCAGGTATATGTGACATAACAATGTAGTTATCGAGTTTTAATGATAATGAGCTACAGGGGTTGTGGAGCACTCCTCAGTCGGGATGTATTATCTTTCTCTCTTTTACTTAGCAACGCTTGAGAAAAAATTTGGTTGGTGGTTTGTATTGTAACTTCTTGTCGATAAGGATTTGAGAGCAAGTAAATAATTATATATATATATATATATATATATGTTAAAGCTCAAGTTCGGGCACAATGTTTTCTTAATTCATACGTTACCAGACAAGTTAAACACCGAGTTGAAGATATTATGGCCAGTTATTTAACAAACAAATACTTATTATTAACTAACACTAGAAGGAATAGGTAACAAACAATGTCTATCTCTCTATCAATTCAAATCAACACATTGTTAACATGCGCTAACTGAAACTATGAAAAAGGAAATATAAAAAAGAAAGAAAAAAAAAAAAGAAAGAAAAAAAAAAGCAAGGGGAAAAAAACGCCAGAACCGGTCCGTCTAGTATCTTTTCTCCGAAGGGAATGAATGGATGAAATAAGACAATGCCACGCGGAGAGAGTCTATATACGTCTATGTATATACATGCCGTTAAAAATTACCGTCGGTGCTCCGCAGTTTCAGCACAAGAGGGAAAGGTGGGGGGGAATAAATAAAAGATGAAGCAAAACTGAACATCGTGAAACGGAAAATAAGGAAGCGACGAAAGAAGAAAGAAGAAAGAAGAAAGAAGAAGGAAAGAAGGAAAGAAAGAAAGACATGGAGGAAGATGAAAAGAATCTATGTAAGAAATCCATCGAATATATGTGAGGTCCCAACCAGCAAACAAGAAAGTCCAAGCCCAAAAGAGAGGGAAAAAAAAAAAGAAAAAAAAGAAAGACTTTTGTTCACATCATTATTTTCCCCAATAGAGGAACCATTATGCTTCATCATCAGTGTCTGGGGGGTGAGGTGTGCCCTTGGGTGAGTTGAGCCTGGAAGAGGAGGGTTGCTGTTAGCACACGTCCATTTACTCAATGATCAAGAGGAAAGCGAAAAAAAAAAAAAGAAAAGAAAAGAAAAGAAAAAAAAAAAAGGAAACGGGAGAAAGAAAAAAGTTGCCAACATACCATTCAATATGCCTTAAACGCCTCCGCACCTCACGATCCTTCATCTGCGCACGAGTCAACTTCTTCTTTTTCTTCGCTTTGAACTTCAACTCGCCGCCCGCATCCTCAGCACCAGAATTAGCAGCAGACGCTGCTGCGGACGCTGCCGCGCTCGAAACGACACTGCTAGCCACGGTGCTGGGTCCGCGCGAGCTGTCCTCAAACCGGTCGAGGGAGAGCGACACATGGCCCTTGTGCGTCATCCGCCCGTCCTCGACATGCCATTGCTCGGGGCACAGTGCACCGACGAATTCCTCGTTGTGGGAAATCATCACCACGCCACCCTTGTAGTCGCGGATGGCGACGGCGAGGCCGCCTAGCGAGTCGCGGTCGAGGAAGTTGGTGGGTTCGTCCAGGACAAGGAGGTGCGGGTTATTCCACATGGCGCCGGCGAGGACGACTTTGACCTTCTGGCCGCCCGAGAGGCCGGAGATTTGGTTGTGGTTTGCGATTTCCGGGTCGAGGCCGACGTCTTCGAAGTGTTTGGAGATTACTTTTGGTTCCAGGACGCGGTAGCCTAGGCCCTCGCGGGAGGCTTCGTGGTCGTCGTATTCTTGGACGAGTTTTTGGAAGCCTTCCTTTAGAAGAGTTTCGCGGGAGATGAAGGAGTTGAATTTGGGAAGCATGCCAACCCATTTACTGATTTGAGTGTTAGAGAGAACGGGGGAAAAAATGGGAGTCCAAGGAGAGAGATTGAAGGGGGACACGGCTTACACTTCATATTGGAACGTTTTCTTCAACTTTTGCCGACCAATCAAGGCCTCAATACGCCGGGGTCCCCTCCCATCGCCAATATCGATTGTTTTCTCCATTTGGATACGATCCTCCTCGGTCAAAACTCTGGTTTGCTTCATCAACACCTCCCGATCGTCGCCATTCTGATATCTCCACTGCAGATATTGGTTGGGTGTCTTCTCCATGTGCATCTCCACATGTTCAAGGGCGTGCTGCTTGATGTACCCGATTCGAAGATTGGGATGCTTCTCAACCTTGCCGGATTGGGGAATAAGCTCTCCAGTCAACAGCTTGATGAAAGTTGACTTCCCCGCGCCGTTACCGCCAATAATGGCTGTGCGAGACGAGAGGGTCAGGGAACAGCTTGCATCTACTAGAGAGGGCTTTGTATTTCCAGGATAAGTGTAAGTCACGTTACTCATGCGAAGGATGGCACGGGTTTGCGATTTGACACCTGTCAAGATACCTGGAGGGGGGAACTTGAACTGAACATTCGACGAGCTAAGGGTATAGTAGCTCTTCGCCTCCGGCTTGACTTTGACAAAATCAGCAAGGTTACCCTTGTAGCAGACCAGTTTCTTTCCTTCATAGTGGTAGATATCGGTACAGACTTCGTCCAAGAAACCAGAGTCGTGACTGACGATCAAACTGGTGATCTCGGTGTGTTGCTTCAGGTATTCCTGCAGCCATTTCACATTCGCTACGTCCAAATGATTGGTCGGTTCGTCGAGGAGGAGAACATCAGCTCCCATGAGCATAGCTCGCGCCAGAGCCAACTTCATCTTCCATCCACCGGACAGGGAGCCAACTTTCTGTTCCTGCCGTCCACCAGGGCCAGCAGTGAATCCGACCTCGCTCAAGACCTCGGAAATTCGCTCTTTGCCGCTTGCAGCTAGTTCTGGATCTTTGGCAACGAATTCCAAGATGCTCAAATCCGCATCTTCACCTTGGTTGTGCTCCACGAAGCATGTCTTCAAAACATCCTTGGGAGGGAATCCTTCCAGCTTTCCCTCCGCAATACTGCGCATGAGGGTGGATTTTCCGGCTCCGTTGCGCCCGCAGAGCCCGTATCGATGGCCCTTGAGGAGCCTAAGGTTTGTGTGGGAGAGCAGAAGCATGCCGCCATACGCAAGAGAGAAATCCGCATTGACGATCTCAACTTCACCCGTGTCTTCTTGCACAGGTACTCCATATTTCCGCTTATCTTCCTCCACGAAATGGGCGTGAACTGCGGAAGCGATGGCAGCCTCTTGTCCCTCCTTGACTAGTTGACTAAGATAAGGTGCGATGCATAGTGGGACGCGGTCGAGAAGACGTGAATTCACGTCGTCGCGAACCATTTCAGAGATATACGTCTTCGAGATGGCCCAGAATGGTTCATCTTCCTTACGCACAATTCCGCCATGGAGCTTCACCTGTTGCTCCAATACCTTTAGAACTTCATCTGCTGTTACTTGGGTCACCGCCCCGTTGGCTAAGTTCGTGCTGCCATCGCCCATAGCGTGCTGGATGACGTTCAGAGCGCGTGTTGCTAGCTCCCGAACTTCAGGCAACGAAGCCCTGTCTTTCA